TCATGAATAAAAGAAATAAACGAAAAGGAGATAAATATCAAACAAAAACAAAAAAAAATACCTAAAAACCAAAAACTAGAAATACCAGCACCAAAACTGACCCCTCCACACCTAAACCACACATTGCCCTCAATGTGATAATCTAACAGGAAAAGGAAGGAGAAGGGCAACGGTATTTCCCTGAAATCATCAAAATAGGGGCAGGTTGGGTGGGAACTGAGGAGCAAGACCCGCATGGTGCATAAGTGCTGTCAAATTCTGCGCCATGTTATGCAAGTTGACGTCAATGTGGGTCATTTGAGTCTCCAGTCTCTCAACTGGCATCTGGAGTTGGAGCTAGTCGTCAACCCCTGGGGTGGGAGGGGGCTGAGAAGTTCTAGGTGTCCTAGACACCTGGACTACCGCTGTGGAGCGGCGCGTTGATGGAGGCATGCAAGGAGAACTGGGCGTCGCGTGTGGCTGAGGTGGAGTGGTGCATGCTGAGAAGTGGGTCGGTGAGAGATGGTGGCATGCAGGCTGATGGCTCGCGATGGAGGGAGCGGCGGGCAGCGGCGACTGCCATGCAAGGGAGCGCGGCGCCTGTGTCGCTTCCGTGGGTCGACGACGACGGTGGCGGTCGTGGCTGCTCGAGCTGAGTGCTGGAGGAGTGACGAGGGAGAAGGGAGAGCGCGAGGAGCGAGACGGGAGATAGAGAGAAAGGAAAAGGCGGCGGATGCATGAGGGGGAGGCAGGAGCTGTGGGTGGTGGTGTATCGGCCAAAAAAGAAAAGATGGAAAAGGAGAAGCAAGGCAGCAGGAAAGAAAAGGGAAAGAAAAGAGGAAGAAGGAAAGAAAGAAAGAAAGAAAAGAAGAAAGAAAGGAAAAGAAGAAAAAGAAAAAAATAGTTTTTTTTTGGGAATTTTTTTTTAGAATTGAATTGAGATTGGAAAATTCGAATTTTGAGCACCAAAACTGAAAATGAAAACGGAAATTACTTTTATTTTAAAATTTTTTATTTTTATTTTTATTTTGAAAATGAAAAATTATTTTCTTTGTTTTTGGGTCGTCAAACACTGCGTGGGCACGCCAAGATTATAAAACATCCACTGATCTCAGGAGTCACTAACATGGCGCGGGCACGGCAAGATTGCATTTCCTGCCAATATTACGAGATGTTGAGATTTGACCAACATGGCGCGGGCATGCCAAGATTGGTAAACGTCTACTAACCTTTGAAGTCATTGACACCGCGTGGGCATGCCAAAATTCTTGTCCTGACCACATTGAAGGAAAATATTAAGATCGACTACCACCCAAATGAGAAACGACAAAATGAAAGAATTGAACAACGAAAAATGATAAAATCAATAATTGGGTTGCCTCCCAAAAAGTGCCTTTTTTTATTGTCTTTGGATAGACATTGTCATATTTGTTCAGGGAGGATAAAATCTTGTGGCTTGTTTTAGTACTTCATCTTCTATATAGTCCTGAAAGCCCTCGTAAATAGAGTAATCCTTCAGCACACGAGCTACGATTTTCCATGAACTAGTAGATGGCGCCAAACAAGTCAACGATAATCTGAATTCTCTATTCACTCCTTCATCACGTGCATTTATTGGTCCAAGATATCTTGTCATCGCCACTTTTAATTTATTCCTGTCATGAAATTCAAAATTTTCTGGTATATTAAAGTCAATCTCACTAACAGGAATTGAAGAATAAGGGTCAGGAGAATATTGATTAAGGAATGAAGAAGATGTCACCGCATTTGGAGTTTGTTCACTGGATTCATTCACTTGAACGAGTTGATATTGGGCTCTCATTTCTTGCAGTTCAACTTCCTTTTCAATTGCATCTTTAGATCCATTTTCTTGAGACTCTTGCAGCTCCATGTCACTTGGCCGGATAATTGCACTCTCATCTTCTTCAAGGTTGATGTTGGTCTATGAGGGTAATTCTTCACATATGTGAGAAGCTAATTGCGTTATCGTGAATGTCAATAGATACACTTGATTCGCTATCCCGGATGTCAATAGTTGCACTTGATCCGCCATCGCTTGTGTCTCCTGATGAAATCGATATGTATTAACAGCTAGTAATTCAATCATTTTTTCAAGAGACATAGCTGACATGGATGATGGTTGTTGAAACTCTTGCTGTTGAAAATCCATTGGTCCGGTCGCATAATTAAAATTGAAATTATCCCATCATCCTTGATCATACCTATTTGAGTAAGGGTCATACCACGTTTGAAATCGAGGTAAAAAATCTCCAAAAGTATCAATCGGAGCACTTAGGTTATCTTGAAATGTGGGGCCTATGTCGGTTGAATAACCTGAGGCAAAATAAGTTCAACAATTTGCAACAGCCAATCAATCATTAGGAAAAACACGAGTCTCATAACCCAATTCACGAATAAAGTCCAGTCTATCACCAAAATACGGAATGTTAGCAGCCATAAATTTTATACAAAAAATAATAATAATAAGAGAAAAAAAAAGAAAACAAGATGAACTAAAAAAAAACAAATTAATCTGGCACCAGTCCTCGGCAACGGTGCCAAAAATTGACAGGGTGTCGAACCTGTGCAATAATAAATACCTGTTCAAACAAAATATAATTTCTGTAGATAGTGATAAGCAGGGTCGAATCCACAGGGACTGGGAATAATTTGTTTTTTCTAGAGTTCAAAGTATGAAGGGTTTTTTTGGAGAATATAAAATAACTGATTAACTAACTAATGAAACAACTAATAAAAATAAACAGGAATTAATCAATAACCAATACGACTCTAGTCAAAGGTGCAACTTTTCAGACACGGTCCATTCAACTGATCATCGATGCAAAAATAATTCAATTACTCATTACTAGATTGGTTATAGTTGTCATACACACAATGAATAACTAGCCTTTCCTTAATTTCTTGATAGTTAAGGTACGATCGTTAACTGTTTTTCTAACCAAAAAATAATCCTAGGTACGACCGTAGGATTTAATTACTCGATTGTATTAATAATTAAAAAAACCTAACCCTAACCAACAAACACACTACGAGGGTTTGTTTAAGTTAGATCATACGTTTCCCTAATATGAAACCAATCACGCTAGTCACCACTGGTATTAATCGATTGAACAATTACGGATTCAATCAATTAATTTGGCATTAGATCATTAGGTTAATTCGAATATCGGGCCCTTGACATTCAAATAACATAACAAGTATAAGCAATTAAATCAGGAAACGTACAAATACCAATGAATAAAAGAAATAAATAAAATTAATTCGATCTCACAGATATTTGGAACCGCGCCATCAAGTTGGCCTTCGACTAGATGAAGGGTTTAGCCACGCCGTATAATTAAATCTCCACGCAAATTAATTGATTACAAAGGCATCACGTTTTTCACTAGAAAGCAGGAGTAAAAGATGTTTTTCCCGTTGGAAAATATTGTCGAGCACCTTGTGCGCATGAAAAGGAAAAAAGAAAGAAAAACTAAAACTAAAGCTATGCTAAAACTATTGATAAGAACCCTCTGTACGTTTGTTTCTTTTTAAAGCCAAATGACTAATGATCAATCTCCGTGGGTCCCTATCGAATTGAGCAAGCACTGCAAAAGCTTCCTGAATGAACCGAGCCTTCCCTTATTTTTTGTTTCCTATTACTAGTAGGATTCCAATCTCCTAATTAGCAAAAGGAATTGCAATCCGATTTTGGCACCCTGTGGGCCAGGGTTCGTGAAGCTCTTTGGAGTCTCCCACGTGTGGAGCAATTTTCTTCAACAAATCCCCCTTTTTAGCATATTTCAGTTCAACTTCCCTGTAGATAGGTCCAAATACCAGATATAAGTATATATTAATAATTTAAACAATATTTGGCAAGGACAAAAGGGGAAATTAACAATAAAATTACTAACAATTAACACCCTATCAAGCAGATAAAAATGAGGGCATTCCCCTTCTCTCTTAAGGACTCGGCAAAAGATTAGTTGTACTACCTTTCTCCAAGTAGCATCACCACGTGGGACCAACTAAAGAAAAAATTTCTAGAAAAATATTTTCTTGTGTCTTGAGCCGCCAGCTTAAGGAAAGAAATCATACTGCATGATTAAACATTTCATCCCTAAAAGTGCACATTAATATGGTTCTTATATTTTTCATGTAATTAAGGCATCTTCTGTTTTTATCTACAGGCCAATGCCTGCATAATTGATTTTTTCGTGAATATTTTCCTTGTGGATAGGGATCGGAGATTGAAGGGATTATGTTCAATAATGACATTCCAAAGATCAGCCCTGGCCTTCAAGTTTATAAAAAGTATCCGATTTCAAAAGCCATAGTAAGGCTCATTTCAGTAAAATGTCAAACTGCTGAACTGAAGATCCAGTGGGTTTGGAAACCCCCTTGCCACGTAGGTATCGTCGTCCTCCACGCGGCGAGTGGGATTGGCACGATGGTGACACGGCGCGAATTGATTGGTTGTCAACTGTGCCTGTTGCACCTGATTCTTCCTCCCCTTTGTTCGTCATCCTGTCTTTCCTTCCTACCGTTTAATTCTACTGTGATTTTCTACAGATGTTCAATTGAGGTGGTCAGCTACTCTCTACTCGCTCACCAGGCTCCTCTCTACCGGCTCTTACCTATTTTTTTTTTTACTCCGCCACATATTGGTGTTGTCTCCACTCCGAATTTTATCTTTCCCACACCTGATTTTCCCTCTCCTCTCTCCTTCGTTCGTTTTTCTTTTCGCTTATTTTGCTTCTATGTTACTTGCTCCCCGCTTCCTTTTACCTTTTTCTTGACATTCTGAGACTGCTCCCATTCAAAAATTACTGTCTCTTCGCAGTCCTTGCACATTTTCCCCACATTCTCTATATTCTTTTCTTCTGGTGGAAAATTGATTTTTCAAAGACTATGTTGACTGAGTTTATTAGAATGAACAAAACAAATGCTACAGCTCAGAATTTGAAGTGCTTATATAAAGATTTTCTGCAACATTTTTTATGAACTCCAAAAATAAAGACATGGTCAGAGAGGAGAAAGGTCATAGGGAGACTGGTAACTGTCGAGCCTAGGAAAGGAGAAAGGTACTACATAAGACTTTTACTCACACATGTTCAGGAACCAACGTCGTTTGATGACTTACTTATGGTTAGAGGTCACAAAACTGGCTTTCTTTGAGAAGCCTGTTTGCAGTTAGGATTATTGGAATCTGATTCCTATATAGAAGAAGCATTATAGGAAGCTGCTCATTTCCAGATGCCATATTTGTTAAGGTCTTTATTTGCAATGCTTCTGTTTTATTGTTCTCCAAAAAATCCCAAACATCTTTGGCAAGCATTTGAAGAGCAGCTATCTTCTGATTATAAACGAAATTGCACACATCGACACTGTACATCAATAGAGATTAAATGGAAAGTTCTTCAGGATATTAATTCAACATTGGAACACTTGGAAAAAACCTTGATGACTATCATTTCCTCGAAGATTCCTTTACATCCCGTTATGGTGAGCCCCTGACTAAAGAAATTAAAAGTGAAACTGCGACACCGATTGATCCAGAAGATCTACTTCTTCCTCAAAAATTGAATGCTGGATGAAGGCATGCATTTAATTTGATTCTGGATTCAATATGCAAATCAAAAGGTCAAGTTTTTTTTATTGATAGTCCAGGTGGAATGGGTAAAACTTTCTTATATCGAGTGCTTCTCGCTTTTCTTCGTTCACAAGGATATGTGGCAATTGCAGTTGCCACATCTGGGGTCGCAGCACCTATCATCTCTGGTGGTAGAACTGCACACTCAAAATATAAGATTCCTTTGGATTTTTTAAAACCAAAAACTTGTCAACAAAGTAAGTAGAGCAGTGTTACCAAGCTGATTATTAATGCTAAATTAATCTTGAAGGATGAGGCTTCAATGGAAAAAACGGAAACAATAGAGGCGGTTCATTGTCTTCTTACAGATATAATGGAATTTGATGTACCCTTTGGAGGAAAAACTATTATTTTTGGCAGTGATTTTCCCCAAACCCTGCCAGTTATTGAACAGCTAGGCGAGTCAGAATCGATCAAATCGACTGTTCTATATTCACATTTATGGTCTCATATGCGTAAGCAGCGACTGGCAACAAATATGAAAGCTGCCTTAGATGCAGCATTTTCCGATTTTTTTATTAGAGTAGGAGAAGATGTTGAACCTGTTGACGAACATGGTCAGATGTCCCTTCCACCTCATATGGTTATTTCTTATCATAACAAAGAAGAGTTGCTTGACAGGTTATAATCATATAGTGCATTATAAGTAGCTCATTCCGTCCGTGTATTTTTGACTATTTGTCCTAATTACATGTAAATTCTTCCAGGTTATTTGGGATCGTCTTTCCTGATTTAAATATGTACTCTTGTAATCCTTATCGAATGATAAATAGATGTGTACTTTGTCCAAAAAATAGTTCATTGGATGAAATTAATAGGATGATGATTGCAAAATTTCCGAAAAATCTTCACAGATATAGAAGTTGTGATAGAACTGTTGATAAGAGAAATCAGACAGATTATGAGGACTTTCTAAATTCTTTTAACCCAAAATCTCATTAACTTTTACGCAAAAAAACTGTCCTTTAATACTTCTAAGAAATGTGAATCCAACGGATGGTCTTTGCAATGGCACACGATTAATCTGTAGAGAATTGGGTGAGCTCACAATTACTGCGGAAATTTTCTCTGGTCCTCATAAAAGGAAAAAGTCTTCAGTCCAAAAAATCCTTTGCGGACTTTTGATAGCGAAAAGAATGGTATTCCATTTATACGGACACAGTTTCATGTCCGTTTATGCTTTGCATTGACAATCAATAAACCTCAGGGTCAGACTCTTGACTATGTTGAAATTTATCTCAGTAAACCTGTCTTTTTTCACGGCCAGCTTTGTGTTGCTCTCTCTAGAGTTAGGAATTCTTCCGCAGTTAAAGCTTTAATTGCTTCGGGTACTTCTGATGACATCAAAGTTGATTGTAAAACAAGAAATCTTGTCTTTCATGATATATTTTGCTTGACTAACACATGACATACGAGGTCTGATTACCCGTACCGTTGAATACTTATTAGTTTTTGATTTGAAGAATCAAATGTTGTTGTCAATTTTCCATTCTATTTCTGTTTTCTAAAAATTTACAGAATGGAACATGTTATCCCAGTCAAAGACGTCCTACCAGGCTCTGAAGGCAGGACTTGCAAAGTCACTGTGCAACAAAAACAGCAGATAACTGGATCAGCAACGCCGCCAATTAAAAAATGAAAGTTTATTTTGTTGGATTCAGAAGTCTTCTCCCTGCTGCCATGATATATACTTCTTCATACTGCATGATTAAACATTTCATCGCTAAAAGAGCGAATTAATATGGTTCTTATATTTTTCATATAATTAAGGCATATTCTATTTTTATCTACAGGTCAATGCATGCATAATTGATTATTTCGTGAATATTTTCCTTGTGGATTGGGATCGGAGATTGACGGGATTATGTTCAATAATGACATTCCAAAGATCAGCCCTGGCCTTCAAGTTTATAAAAAGTATCCGATTTCAAAAGCCATAGTCAGGCTCATTCCAGTAAAATGTCAAACTGCTGAACTGAAGATCCAGTGGGTGTGGAAGCCCCCTTGCCACGTAGTTATCGTCGTCCTCCACGTGGCGAGATGGGATTGGTATGATGGTGACACGGCGCGAATTGATTGGTTGTCAACTGTGCCTGTTGCACCTGATTCTTCCTCCCCTTTGTTCGTCGTCTCGTCTTTCCTTCCTACCATTTAATTCTACTGTGATTTTCTACAGATGTTCAATCGAGGTGGTCAGCTACTCTCTACTCCCTGATCAGGCTCCTCTCTACCAGCTCTAACCTGCTTCTTTCTTTTTTTACTCCGCCACATATTGGTGTTGTCTCCACTCCGAATTTTATCTTTCCCGCACCGGATTTTCCCTCTCCTCTCTCCTTCGTTCGTCTTTCATTTCGCTTATTTTGCTTCTGTGTTGCTTGCTCCCCGCTTCCTTTTACCTTTTTCTCAACATTCTGAGGCTGCTCCCATTCAAAAATTACTGTCTCTTCGCAGTCCTTGCACGTCTTCCCCACATTCTCTCTATTCTTTCCTTCTGGTGGAAAATTGATTTTTCAAAGGCTATGTTGACTGAGTTTATCAGAATGAACAAAACAAATGCTACAGCTCAGAATTTGAAGTGCTTATATAAAGATTTTCTGCAACATTTTTTATGAACTCCAAAAATAAAGACATGGTCAGAGAGGAGAAAGGTCATAGGGAGACTTGTAACTGTCGAGCCTAAGAAAGGAGAAAGGTACTACATAAGACTTTTACTCACACATGTTCAGGAACCAACGTCGTTTGATGACTTACTATGGTTAGAGGTCACAAAATTGGCTCTCTTAGAGAAGCCTGTTTGCAGTTAGGATTATTGGAATCTGATTCCTATATAGAAGAAACATTACAGGAAGCTGCTCATTTCCAGATGCCATATTTGTTAAGGTCTTTATTTGCAATGCTTCTGTTTTATTGTTCTCCAAAAAATCCCAAACATCTTTGGCAAGCATTTGAAGAGCAGCTATCTTCTGATTATAAATGAAATTGCGCACATCGACACTGCACATCAATAGAGATTAGAAGGAAAGTTCTTCAGGATATTAATTCAACATTGGAACACATGGGAAAAACCTTGATGACAATCATTTCTTCGAAGATTCCTTTACATCCCATTATGGTGAGCCCCTGGCTAAAGAAATTAAAAGTGAAACTATGACACCGATTGATCCAGAAGATCTGCTTCTTCCTCAAAAATTGAATGTTGGATGAAGGCATGCATTTAATTTGATTCTGGATTCAATATCCAGCTCAAAAGGTCAAGTTTTTTAATTGATAGTCCAGGAGGAATGGGTAAAACTTTCTTATATAGAGTGCTTCTCGCTTTTCTTCGTTCACAAGGATATGTGGCAATTGCAGTTGCCACATCTGGGGTCGCAGCACCTATCATTCCTAGTGGTAGAACTGCACACTCAAAATATAAGATTCCTTTGGATTTTTTAAAAGAAAAAACTTGTCAACAAAGTAAGTAGAGCAGTGTTGCCAGGCTGATTATGAATGCTAAATTAATCTTGTAAGATGAGGCTTCAATGGCAAAAACAGAAACAATAGAGGCGTTTCATTGTCTTCTTACAGATATAATGGAATCTGATGTACCCTTTGGAGGAAAAACTATTATTTTTGGCGGTGATTTTCCCCAAACCCTGCCAGTAATTGAACAGCTAGGCAAGTGAGATTCGATAAAATCAACTGTTCTATATTCACATTTATGGTCTCATATGCCTAAGCAGCGACTGGCAACAAATATGAGAGCTACCTTAAATCCAGCATTTTCAGCTTTTTTTATTAGAGTAGGAGAAGATGTTGAACCTGTTGATGAACATGGTCAGATGTCCCTTCCACCTCATATGGTTATTTCTTATCATAACAAAGAAGAGTCGCTTGACAGGTTATAATCATATAGTGCATTAGAAGTAGTTCATTCCATCCGTGTATTTTTGACTATTTGTCCTAATTACATATAAATTCTTCCAGGTTATTTTGGATCGTGTTTCCTGATTTAAATCTGTACTCTTGTAATCCTTGTCGAATGATAAATAGATGTGTAATTTGTCCAAAAAATAGTTCAGTGGATGAAATTAATAGGACGATGATTGCAAAATTTTTGAAAAATCTTCACAGATATAGAAGTTGTGATAGAACTGTTGATAAGAGAAATCAGACAGATTATGAGGACTTTCTAAATTCTTTTAACCCAAAACCTCATGAACTTTTACGCAAAGAAAACTGTCCTATAATTCTTCTAAGAAATGTGAATCCAACGGATGGTCTTTGCAATGGCACACAATTAATCTGTAGAGAATTGGGTGAGCTCACAATTACTGCGGAAATTTTCTCTGGTCCTCATAAAGGGAAAAAGTCTTCATTCCAAAAATTCCTTTGCGGACTTTTGATAGTGAAAAGAATGTTATTCCATTTATACGAACACAGTTTCACGTCCGTTTATGCTTTGCAATGACAATCAATAAACCTCAGGGTCTGACTCTTGACTATGTTGAAATTTATCTCAGTGAACCTGTCTTTTTTCACGGCCAGCTTTATTTTGCTCTCTCTAGAGTTAGGAATTTTTCCGCAGTTAAAGTTTTAATTGCTCCGGGTACTTCTAAAGACATCAAAGTTGATTGTAAAACAAGAAATCTTGTTTTTCATGATATATTTTGCTTGACTAACACATGATATACGAGGTCTGATTACCCGTACCATTGAATACTTATTAGTTTATGATTTGAAGAATGAAATGCTGTTGCCAATTTTCCATTCTTTTTCTGTTTTCTAAAAATTTACAGAATGGAACATGTTATCCCAGTCAAAGACGTCCTACTAGGCTCTGAAGGCAGGACCTGCAAAGTCACCGTGCAAGAAAAACAGCAGATAACTAGATCAGCAACGCCGCCAATAAAAAAATGAAAGTTTATTTTGTTGTATTCAGAAGTCTTCTCTCTGCTGCCATGATATATACTTCTTCATACTGCATGATTAAACATTTCATTGCTAAAAGAGCGCATTAATATAGTTCTTATATTTTTCATATAATTAAGGCATCTTCTGTTTTTATCTACAATTCAATGCATGCATAGTTGATTATTTCGTCAATATTTTCCTTGTGGATAGGGATCGGAGATTGACGGGATTATGTTCAATAATGGCATTCCAAAGATCAGCCCTGGCCTTCAAGTTTATAAAAAGTATCCGATTTCAAAAGCCATAGTAAGGCTCATTCCAGTAAAATGTCAAACTGCTGAACTGAAGATCCAGTGGGTGTGGAAGCCCCCTTGCCACGTAGGTATCGTCGTCCTCCACGTGGCGAGATGGGATTGGCACGATGGTGACACGGCGCGAATTGATTGGTTGTCAACTGTGCCTGTTGCACCTAATTCTTCCTCCCCTTTGTTCGTCGTCCCGTCTTTCCTTCCTACCGTTTATTTCGACTGTGATTTTCTACAGATGTTCGATTGAGGTGGTCAGCTACTCCCTACTCGCTCATCAGGTTCCTCTCTACCGGCTCTAACCTGCTTCTTTCTTTTTTTACTCCGCCACATATTGGTGTTGTTTACTCGAAACACAAAGCTAATAAAACTATAATAAACCAAAGAGTACTATTTATAATATATACAACCGCCAAAAGTTCTATTTACATCTTCAAAAGTATCTGGTCAAACCATTATTCTACAGTGTGATAACAACCAGCAGGAAGTAGACCCTAAGGAGGGTCCTTATACAAACCACCAAAACAAAATATACATCTTAATTGTCCAACTATTACAAGCAGACCTAACTATACCAGTGAATATGCCCAGGCGTTCCCCGTGTCGTCCCCTGCTAAGGAAAACAAAGGAAACAGGCAAGTTATATGTTTAGTAAGTAAACAAGGGTAAAATCATAAATTTCACAGTTAGATAAACAACTATTTCACAAAAGTGTCAAGTCAAGTGCAAAAGTAACAATACAAAGGAAGGATACAGGTTGGCTCCAAAGCCAAATCGTTTGCCTTGCGTGACCTCCTGCCGACACTCCATCGATTATAAACAAGGTCCGTAGAACTCCACTTGTACTCCCACCTAACACCTTATCACCCTCACTTGCCAGTCACCTCACAAACTTGCTCGAGCGAAAGAAATTGAGCTTGGTTCACAAGCTCGGTTCACAAACTTGGTTCACATGCTCGGTGAACCGGATTCAGAAACTTGGTGACCTCTGACTAGGCTGGACTGACTTCGACCAAGCCCTAACCGGCTCGAATAGTCCATCTAGATTTTGAAATCGACCTCAAACTCACAAACTTCACAAAATTATCCAAAAGTCACCCCGAGCTACAAGCTCGAGGGTTTTAGTTCCAAAATGGTTCATATACATATGCCATGTACAAATACGTGGGCAAATTAGGGTTTAGGTCGAGTGCGATAAAGTACACCCTCGCCTAAGTACCATTTTCATACAAATCATAACACATAAGCAACTAGCACATAAGAATGGCCTGAATACTTACTTAAAACACAAAAGTAGTACAAGAGCATAAATCACTTCGTGCGTGTTAGCTAGTAGGTCCCACCAGCTCCGCCTAACTCACCACGGTCTGAAATAAAGGATTGCATCTCATTATATCACAAACGGCTAC